GCCTTTTGGCCCTCTTTCTCTCGGGCGGCTGCCCGGGCTGCCTCAATCTCGGCGTCTGCAGCTGCAGTATCGCGCTGTTTCTTACCTGATACCTTCTTAAGTCGGTAGAACTCTTCTCTGTCAAGTTCGTCGAGTTCGGACATAATGTCTGGTTTATGTTAGCTGCGAACCAAAGCGGATACTAGAAGTCACTGACATTTGATGGTGTTCTCGGTCCGGGGAATGATAACATGCTCACTGGAGGAGAAATTAGTTTGCGGACCTTGGTCTACTAGAAGATGTGCCTTACATGGCGTTTACTGTGAACGAAGTTAGTTAATTAGCATCGACCTACATATAGTAATAGAGTACTCACCTCTCCGATTGACAACCTTGATCACCTCGTCTAGAATTACGAACGCAGTCTGAATATTTGGTGTCAGAGGTGGAATATAAGCGGGAAGCTTCCACACCGTACCTGTAAGCTTGCAAGCTCAACCAAAGTTTCGACCGCGCGAGCATACGTCTCTCGAGACCGTTGAACTTGCTGACCTCCTTTTCCGAGACCAGTTAAGCCAAAGTCGTTAATTCCTTCCTCCGTGTAGCTCTCGAAGTGAGGCAGGAGGACACCGGAGACATTATCTTGTTTGGCGCGTACACGGAATCGTGCTTGCTTGGCTGATTCTTGAATCTGATAGCCGATATCGCCACCAACGGCATAGCTCACTTCGGCCAAAGAAAACGCGGCAATCTGCATGACCCTCCCCATCTTCTGTTTGGCTTCATCGATACGTCGAGTAATCTCTGGCTTGCCATGTCAGTTTAGAATTAATGTGGGGAAATGCGCTCATGGCGTCCACTTACCCCGGAAACGCCTATTGTTCATGACATCTTAGTATGCATATTACAACTGATTCTTGTGTGGTGTACTTACTTGGTCAACGCCTCACTCTTCCTCTTTAGCAAGCTGTGTCCGGTTTCCGCGCCTTTCAGTTTACTCTTCATTACTCCCAGCGACTGGCGAGTCGGGAAGACTGCCTCGCGGCCCTAGGTGAGGAAAAGACATCAACAGTGGGTCCACAAGAGGACCTGGAGCAGAAGGACAGACATACTACTGCACCCGACATGGCTAATAGACTCAAAGAGCACGATCAGCTTGACTTGAGAGGCCACGACAGGGAGCGGCGTAGATGACGATAGGCGATAATGGAGGGGGAGCTTGGACCACCTGCGGCCCGCATGATAGCAGGTCACGTGGGCGTTGCACGACTTCATCTCTGCAGTCTCTCAGACGGCTATCAGCCAACGCGACGAGAAAGCTCTCCAATTCATGCTACACCCCTTTCTTCGGACTCTGTGTTGACCGTGTGAGCCGATCCCGCTCGACTGAGTGGCGACATGCCAGGGACACTCCTGCCCCCGAGATCTCACCGGCAACACGCGCAAATGGATCGCACGTCGGCCTCAGGGCCGGACCTCTATTTGATAGTGAGTTGAGACGTCGGAATTTGGTAGGACAAAGGCTAACTGCACCGTTTGCCTACAGGCCGACCAGGATACTGTATATGAACAGGATCTCCTTCGGGACACCGGCAGTATCAAACCATGGCTTGCTTATATCGAATATAAGCAGCAGCATGGGACGCTCTACGAACAGGCTTTTGTATGTTTCGGTTGCGATTAATCCTGCTGGACGTGCTGCTAATCAATTGCAGGTTATGGAGCGTGCGTGCAAGCAGCTCCCAAGATCTTACAAACTGTGGAAGATGGTACGCTATTTCCTTCAACCCCACCCTGTCGCATTGAAGTTTGCTGATTTGAGTAGTACTTGGAATTCCGCACGAAGCATCTCCAAGGTCGCAACCCGACTATATACCGAGCCGAATACCAGAAGGTCAACGCCCTTTTCGAGCGTGCCCTTATACTCCTCAACAAAATGCCACGGATTTGGGAGCTGTACCTCTCATTCCTACTTCAACAGCCCCTCGTGACACAAACCCGACGTACATTCGACCGCGCACTACGAGCTCTGCCGATCACTCAACATAATAGAATATGGAAACTGTACAAGACTTTCGCGCGTTCCGCTTCCGGCCAGACTGCCGTGAAAATCTGGGCTCGGTACATGCAGATCCACCCGGAGAACGCGGAGGAGTACATTGAGCTTCTTGTGGAGATGGGGCAATATACGGAAGCCGTGAAGCGGTATATGGAGATACTCGACAACCCAAGATTCCAATCCAAGGAGGGGAAGAGTCACTTCCAGCTGTGGACTGAAATGGTGGACTTGCTTGTGTCAAAGGCGAAGCAAATCGAAACAGGTCCGCATGTCGGTATTGATGTGGACGCTATTCTACGCAGTGGAATCGACCGGTTCGCTGACCAGAGAGGTAAATTGTGGGCTGGATTAGCAACATATTGGATCACCAAGGGTAGTTTCGAGAAGGCTCGAGATACTTTCGAGGAGGGCATTACGACGGTCATGACGGTTCGCGACTTTACGCTTATTTTCGACTCCTATGTTGAATTTGAAGAGTCTATTATTGGCAGTTTGATGGAAGCGGCAGCCGTTCGCGCTGATAAAGTTCAATCCGACGAAGAGGCAGATTTCGATCTGGATCTCCGAATGCTGAGGTTCGAACAGCTCATGGACCGCCGACCATTCTTGGTCAATGATGTATTGCTACGACAGAACCCCAACAATGTCATCGAGTGGGAGAAGAGGGTTGCTTTGTGGGGTGACAACAAACAAGAAATCGTCAACACTTACACGGCAGCCATCGCAGCTATAAGCCCGAAGAAGGCTCATGGGAAGTTCTCCGAGCTCTGGGTCAACTACGCCAAATTCTACGAGGGCGGAGGGGATCTGGACACAGCTAGGGTAATTTTTGAAAAGGCCGTGAAGGTCCCCTTCAAATCGGTGGCTGAGCTCGCCGAGACGTGGTGCGAATGGGCTGAAATGGAACTCCGCGGTGAGAACTTCGATAAAGCTGTTGAGGTTATGGCGAAAGCAACGCAAGCGCCGAAAAAATCAACAGTCGACTACTTCGATGAGAACCTGTCACCCCAACAACGAGTTCATAAGAGCTGGAAGTTGTGGAGTTTCTACGTTGATTTGGTCGAAAGTGTCGCGTCGTTGGAAGAGACAAAGAAAGTCTACGAGAGGATTTTCGAGCTACGCATCGCCACGCCCCAAACTGTGGTCAACTATGCCAACCTTTTGGAGGAGCACAAGTACTTCGAGGATTCATTCAAGGTTTACGAGCGAGGGTTGGATCTCTTCAGCTACCCGGTTGCATTCGAGCTTTGGAACCTCTACTTGACTAAAGCCGTGGATCGGAAGATTGGTATTGAAAGATTACGAGACCTCTTCGAACAGGCCCTGGATGGATGTCCTCCCAAGTTTGCCAAGCCGCTCTATCTAATGTATGGCAATCTTGAAGAGGAACGTGGATTAGCCCGTCATGCCATGCGGATCTATGAGCGTGCTACGCGTGCAGTGTCCGACGAGGACAGATTCGAGATGTTTGAGTTCTACATTACGAAGTCTGCATCGAACTTTGGATTGCCTTCCACAAGACCGATCTACGAACGCGCTATTGCGGCATTGCCCGACCAGGAAGCCAAGGAGATGTGCCTCAAATTTGCGGAAATGGAACGACGACTTGGCGAAATCGACCGGGCCCGCGCAATCTATGGCCACGCTTCTCAGTTCTGCGACCCCCGGACGAACGCTCCTTTCTGGCAAAAATGGGAGGCATTCGAAGTTCAACATGGCAACGAGGATACCTTCAAGGAGATGCTTCGTATCAAGAGAAGCGTTCAAGCACAGTACAAGTATGCATTCACTCTTAAGTTGACAACACCATGAATCAAAGCTAACGTTACTGAACAGCACCGACGTCAACTTCATCGCCTCCCAGGCTATTGCTCGAAGTCAACAGCGGACTCAAGACGGCGACGCAAAGGGCGCCGAGGAAGGAGATGTGGATGGTTCGACAGCAGACGCTATGGCAGCCCTCGAACGACAAGCGCGTGCTCCTGTGGGCTTTGTCGCTGCCAGCACAGGCCCCGAAGGTGGAAATCGACCCCCACCACCTGGCCAAGAGCAGCCAGCTGCTCCTGCAAACCCTGACGCTATTGACCTGGACGAAGATATGGACGCCTAGTAAAATACCTTTGCAATTGCTACTTTTGTTTTCCTACTATGGCTTTGGATAGTTGCGCTGGCCGAGTTATCTCAATTATCATCGAACTGATGCATGAATATCACACTCCTTTGCTGTTTCCCTTGTAACAATTATTGTCCTGATATTTCTCCGCAGCCTTTTTGTTTTTCCATTTTCTTTTTTGGGCTGTCCGTCAGGGGGTGCTATCCTCAGCACTTACTTGAATCATGGATATCATCTCTATCTTTTGCTTTTCCTTTGTTTGTGTTATTAACACTATTCGTCTTGGTGGTCTGTGAGATACCTTCGATGGCGTTTCTGTAGACGGAATGGATCCTACATTCTGGTGCTCTGCGGAGTGTCTTGCCTCTATCAGTCTGTACCTATATGAACTGGTTAATCTCCAGTGCCAGTAACCTTCCCATTTGTTTGAGGCTATTCGAAAGACTTTGCCCAGTGTCTTATCTCACGCTGAAGTTCAGTAAGGGGTAACAGGAATGTGCCTATCATGAAAGAATGAGACTCACATGGTTGTCTATTTAGGAGTCTGATATTACGTTACTACCAAATCATACTATAGGCCTAAGGAGCATTCCGTAATGGCTCTGCTTGACTATCAACCATGTACTAACAACATGTATTACATTGTTTCGATAGGAGTATGTAAGTATGGAAACGCATAAACATTAATAATGATAAACGAAACCCTAAGTAAGGTAAAAGCAACATTAACAAACCCCATAACGCAGATATCGCTTCAAAACTTCGGGGATGTGAAAACAAACGAGCAAAAGGGACCCGAGAGATGGAATTGGCTAATCAAGCTGTGCAAAGCATGTTCAATGAAGACTATTACCACGCAGGTTGTTCACAGACCTCAGTAATGAGAGCGCATCTGAAATCTGAGTAACTCGCCCTAAGTTCCAAGATATCCACGTCCTCTGTGAACCCAAAAAGATAGCCTCTCGGATAGCCGGTGCGCTGGAGATTTTTAATGAAGCGTGCGAAAAGCTCCCCAAACTTCGGTGTACAGGTCCTGTGTTTTGATACCAGGGTAGTAGCATGCGCATTCACCAGCTCGATCGTAAGTTTGTCCTCTATACATCTGGTTAGCTAGATCACGATAAGGAGGGGTTCTAGCCACTAACTTAACACCGAAGGAGCAGCATGCGGATCTATTCCATACAGATCCACGAAGACATCATAGTCCTTCCGATCCCCTGAGATATACAGCTCGCTGTCAGCCAAGACGTCCCCACTCGGGACTTCGATGTTCGTGTGAGCAAGGTGTTCCCATTCATCTATCAGGCCACGATCAAGCTTCTGCCACTTGTATCTTGAGAGGAAATAATTCCTTGATGGGTTTGAATTGTCCCTTTCCCCTTCAAGCTCCTTGACTTTCAAGGCTAGCTGATTCTTCTCGCACAACAAATCAGCTACCTTCACCTGGAGTGACTTCACCTTGTAGCGTAGTTTATCGACTTCGTATTCAGTCAACGCAACTTCGTCTCCGAGACCTGACTCGTCATGCAAACGCCCCGTCTCCCACGAATCCTCTTCAGCTGCCCACTCGTGCCCGACACCTGAATCACCGTCCGTATTCTCCAGCTCCGGCATTTCATCCTCGCCGGTCCACAAATGCTCATAGTTGCCATTCTGACAACCATCGATCCCTTCAGCATGCCGCAAGTCTTCATCATTCGGGTCCGCTGGCCAGCCACTTCCTTCCTGATAGGTATCGTCCTGACCAGTTTCACCCAACTCACTTGTCGCGTGATAGGCCTCATTCTGCTTGAGCAACTTTTCAAGCTTCTCTCTCATCTGATCCACCTTCTGGCGCAGTTTGTCGGTTTCACTCGTCTTGTTAGTCATTCCCATGTCCCAGGAGTTTGCGGTTGCGGGACCATGAAGTTTGTCGTCTGCCATTGAGGATTCAGATTTGATTTTCGTTGAAGTTTTTTCTGCTATTCTGAAGGTCATTTCGTTCTCGTTTGTTCGGGGGTGCTGTAGACTGGAGTGTTGAGGATGGTTCTTGGAGGCTTGGATACGAGGGGGAGATTGCTGTTTCTTCAAGTCAGATTTGCGACTCATCAAAATAGAAAGCTGACTTTAGCTTGTCATATACGAGAGAAGGAAACAAGGAAGGCATGAGAGGGGAGAGAAAGAAGAAGAAGAGGGAGTGTCCTTACTGATGTTGGTATTTTACTACAGTACTCTCTTTGTTCAATAAAGAGTAAGAGAACAGGACAAGGTCAGTCCACAAGTAAATGGATGTGTGAAAGTAAAAATACGACTGATTAGGGCATAGCGAAAACAGTCTTCTTGAGATCTCAGAGTGGTATCCATGGTCCGCCAAAAGGCTGCGTATGTACCCAGCTTTTATAGACAACGGTGGGTCTTCGATTGCAGCCTTTATCTATGGGAATGAAGGTGTAATCCGAGTGAATGGCCAAATTGAATAGTTAGATGACAGTTGAATTCCTGCCAGGAGTAAGTAAAGACTAGCTGAGTCATGACAAGGCAGCAATGCTGATAGAAAGACATCATATTCACCGGTGCTTGGAACACTGTCCATGTTATTGGGCTTGGTCCACAATTCTGACGGAAAAACACAGTATAGTTCTAGACTATCACTGATGTTTTTTTTTTTTTTTTTACTCAGATACGAATGAACTTGGTGTGTATAATTCATTACTACACACTTGATGAATGATTCTTGAACTTGATAGGATATTCAATATGATGCCGGGACTTGGAATCAATGACTGTTTAGGTGTACATCGCCAATCCATCAGGTGACTGCCTTTCCCTATTGTGGTCCTTCGTTTGTTATCCCCAAGTTACAAGTCTTTGAGCCAAGGTATCGGAATACTCATGCGCTCTTTACACTTTTCAGACAGTTTGTAAGGACTATAGCTGAAGGCTTAGAGCTTACTAACTACAAGTCCCAATGCCATTAGATTCCTAGACGCATCTCCTCTGCACAGGGCCTAGGAAAGGCAGTGGTTTAGAATAGCGAGAAAAAGTAGATGAAATCTCCGAGATATGCCAATTCGTTACCATAACCCACCCAAGTTCAGCGTAGATAGGTAGACTCATGGCTAAGAAATCCAAGCCATTGTTACCTGAACTATGTCAAACCAGCCCTCACATACCTATCGTAGTATGGACTAGCACACACCTACCACCTACAAGCACAGTGTGCCTTGTGAACATTACAGTGACACCAATGGTAGGGCGTACAGAAGCAAAGTCCATGGGTGCATGACCCATCACATTGTTTCTACTCCAGGCGTTGTGAGTACTGAGGTTGAATATGTTGAAGAATAGAAGGTCTTGTTGGTAGGACATACCTGTCTCTGTTCTGTCCGGCCCTCTCGGTCGAAGGAGTTGGTAGTCGCTAGAAGAGCAGTAGGTATGGGAGTGGGGGGAGGGGTAGGAACATTGTTACTGGCAGTGCTGTCATGATTAAAGGTCTGCGGGGAGAAAGCCAGTACAGTCTTGAGATATAGACTAAGCATGGCGAGGAGAGCGCCAGTAATCTTGATAGAAGGCATACTGCTGGATGGATGCAGACTGTGTTTGGTAGGGATATAAGTGTTGGTGGGTAGAGAAACACAGGAAGAGAGAAGAGAACAAGGCTCAGGATTGTTGAAGTTATATCCATGTCCCGATCCTAGAACATAGTTCAAGTGTCGTAGTTGCATTCGCAGTCAATGAATACAACGCTCGAAGCACAGTATACCTCTTGCCATTCATGTTTGGATATAGATCCATTCACCTATAGTAGTGGTTCACTATCAAGTAAATGAGCCTTTCAAAGCCCCGAGTCTTGATTATATTTCTTCGAGTGAAATGAGTGATGATATACACCGCATATCAAGAGCAATAACCACGCTATTTGTTTTTCCCAATTCCGAATGGACTCAGTATAAGGTTACTTAGCCTCATTAGGTCCGTAAGGGAGGTATTCACAGCATTCCTGGCAACCTGATCATTTTTCACTGCACCAGTCAGACCGAGGCTTGAGAAACGTGAAGACCTCTCTACTCCGTATATCATTTCCTGCGCGTAGGGGTTGCTAGAAATATCAAAAATAAAACAAAACAAAAGTTTAAAGGAAAAATGCTATTAGCATTCACGCCCCATCAGAGTGTATATCGTAGGTGAAAAGAACATTATAGTTAGTTAATTGCAAACGATAACGTAATAACCTGGAAATCTGAATGACTATCTCCTCCGTACTGCCGCTCTCCTTGCTATACCCAATACATTCCTCGCTCTAGACTTGCCGATAAATATTGGCCACAAGAGGCAGACCCACCTACTAATAGTCGTCCTCCAAGTCTCGCTTAGAGCACATCCGCAATGCAATGCGTATTGGCCGAGGTAGATGACTGCCATGAGGCAAAAAGAATACGAGCCTGCAGAACTCATCACATGTGCTAATTAAAGAATATTTCTCCTTTTGGCGCGGCTGAAGCCGGAGATAAGTATCGTTACTTTGGCGATTCCTTCACTAAATTCCAATATGGGAATGAACGCCGGCGCCGCACTTAAGCACTATGCCGATCAACATCTAAAATGCAGCTTGGCAATGATCAGCCGTAAATAACTTCTGTCAAAACTTTCGCTAGAGACCCTGAGAGCTGAACTGTGAGCTCCTTAGGCAGCTTGATGACAAGGCAGGTAAGACTGTACGCAGTAAAAGACCAACCAAGAATCCCTGATGCTATCTGATCTGAGGTAGATGCCGATAGGAAAAATGCAAGACTGTAGCGCACAGACAGGGGGAAGAATGATCCGGCTGGTTAAGAGTAGAAACCACCAGGCGTTGTAGAGATCGGCTCTACTAGGGCTATAGCCGGCTAGTCTTGGTACGCTACAACGAGCAGGGATCGGTATGCTTCTACTGATCAGCTATGTCTTGTCTCCCCTTTTGAGGGGCGAGAACGTCTTTTTTTTTAAAAAAAAAAAAATAAAATAAAATAAAATAAATAAATAAATAAAAATAAGAATAATAATTCATATATATAAAAGAAGTCGTCCAGAGTCCTTTCCCTCTGGAGCAACATGCACACTATCTGATTTTCAATCATGTTTGTTCGTCAGTTGTTGGGCCTTTTGGCCATGGGCACTGGCCTGTCTACGGCTGTTAATCTCACTGGATACAAGTATGTGGTTGTGGGATCTGGGGCAGGTGGTGGCCCATTAGCTGCTCGTCTGGCCCTCGCAGGACATAAGACTCTGCTGATTGAGGCCGGTGATGATCAGGGTCTGAACCTCAACTATTCTATTCCTGCCTATTCCGCAAAGGCCTCGGAGGATGAGGAGATGTCCTGGAACTTCTTCGTTCGTCATTACGCAGATGAGGAGAGACAAGCCCGGGACTATAAAACAAGCTACGAGACTCCGGATGGTGAAATCTATACCGGTCTCAACCCACCGGAGGGCTCAACCATGAAGGGGACCCTCTATCCTCGTACGGGAACCCTAGGTGGTTGCACTGCCCATAATGCCTTGATCGCAATCTATCCTCACCAGTCCGACTTCGAAGACATTGCCACCCTTACCGGTGATAGTTCTTGGTCTCCGGCTAACATGCGCAAGTACTTTGCCAAGTTAGAGAATAACAACTACCTCCTCCCTGGACAGAAAGGCCATGGCTACGATGGCTGGCTCCATACCGAGACCGCCCCACTCAGCCTGGTTTTGGAGGATCCCCAGCTTCTCAGCTTGCTCTTGGGCGGTGCCTTCGCTCTCGGTAACCATACAAACACCATCTTCAACGTTGGAACTCTTCTTGCCGGTGATGCGAATGCCGACAAGAAAACCCGCGATACCAAGCCGGGTTATTATCAGATCCCGATTTCGACCAACGACGCCCACCGGAACGGACCCCGCGAGTTCATCCTCGCTGTCCGTGATGCTAAGAACGATGATGGCAGCAAGAAATACCCATTGGACGTGCGCACCAACTGCTTCGTCACCAAGGTGACTTTCGATGAGTCTAAGAACCCACCCCGTGCTACCGGCGTCGAATTCCTCGATGGACAACACCTCTACCGCGCCAGCCCCCTCGCAAACGACTACTCGAAGGGTACCCCAGGTACAGCGCAGGCCTCGCACGAAGTCATTGTCGCAGGCGGCGTGTACAACTCCCCTCAACTCCTCAAACTGAGCGGTATCGGCCCAGCCGAGGAGCTCCAGAAGTTCGGAATCAAGGTTATCTCCGATCTACCGGGCGTAGGAACCAACCTGCAGGACCACTACGAGATCACTGTGCAGGGCCACGTCCCCAAGGACTGGGCCGTCCTGGACGGCTGCACCTTCAGCGAGAATGGCGAAGCCGACCCCTGCATCGACCGATGGGAAACCCCCACCCCCATCCTGAAAGACCGGGGCATCTACTCCTCCTCTGGACTGGCGGCGACAATGTTCTATAAGAGCAGCGTAACGGCCGACGACTCCTACGATGTGTTTGTCTTCGGTGGTCCAGTCAATTTCCGTGGTTACTTCCCCAACTACAGTATCAATGCCACCAGTGAGCATGACTGGTTTACCTGGGCCATTTTGAAGGGTCATCCCCGTAACTCCGCGGGGAGCGTCACTCTCCGGTCTGCTGATCCGCTCGATATGCCCGATATCGTGTTCAACTACTTCGACACTGGTGTGGGCGACTATGATGCCGATTTGCAGGCGTTGTATGAGGCCGTTGAGCTTAGTCGCGAGGCGTTTGATCGTCAGCTCGTGGAGGTCACTGAGGTGCTTCCTGGTGCTGATGTGAAGACCAAGGAGGATATCCAGCAGTATGCGAAGGATACGGCTTGGGGACACCATGCTTCTTGTACGTGCCCTATTGGTGCGGACGATGACCCGATGGCTGTTCTGGACGCGAAATTCCGGGTCCGTGGTGTCAGTGGGCTTCGAGTGGTTGATGCTTCGGTTTACCCCAAGATTCCTGGTACCTTCACGGCTGTTTCAACTTATATTGTCGCTGAGAAGGCGGCTGATGAGATTCTGTCCGAGTTGAACTAGACTCTGAGTCAATAGTGTGGAGCGTTCTATGCCTAGCATAACGTTGTATATACTGCGCAAGTAACATTCCTGTAATTATGAGTTTGGAAGTACGTCTTATAATACCAACGCAAACATACCCGTGTGAGATTTGAGTCCAGATCGTCGAGCGACGCATTATCTGGTGTCCGAGGTCGTCGCTTTACCTGTAGAGGTAAATCCCAAAGCTAGAGGAACATCAGTTACCTGCTTCAGAGACAGATCAAGCTCCTAGTGAATGAGTCCCATTTGAACCACAAAAAGCGGAGGTATGAGTTTCATGTGTTCGCCGAATATGTAACATTGATAGAGAGATACAGATTTATGTAGATCATTAGAGATTCTTATATGATGTTTGTGAAACATTAGGGGTTGGGTTTTCGGCTGCATATCAGCAGTAACAATAGGAGAATCCACGATTAACACTCAATAACGCCATGGACAAGTCCCCGTAAACAATGATCTATGCACGTAGCGTCATTCACGAAATGAACGTCGACTCGGAGAACATGACACCCTCCTCGGAGACTTCTTCATCTCCGACCTTCAACTTCAGTGCAAGCTTCTCTTGGGGAGCGAACTAAATCCTAGTTAGCGTAACTCGTCATCGTACGTGGCACAGCCTTACCTGGAAGATGTACGGCCGAGTGCCGGCGACACTACCGGCGATGGTTTTGATGAAGCCTGGCACCTCCGCCATAACGTCAATACGGTCCAATCTCCTGCCGAGTGCGCCATCGAGCTCCGCATGAACAGCCTTATCATCTTTCGACTTGCCATCCCAAACCCACTTGATGGATTTCGGCTCGGGCCAGTCGCTATCCTGATCCTGGGATGCCTCGGTATGGGTAGCCGAGTTGGTCACACCGGCGTAAATGATCTCTCCGTCTTTAACGATTCCGCCAACGTTCACCACGGTCGATCCATATGATGGGGGTGTTGTGAACTCCATCATGACGGCGGTGTATGTGGGAGTCTGGAAGTTGACGAAGTTCCACCGTGCAGCTACTTTGAGATTAGAACACTGATTGTTCAACTGCTTCTTGTAAGGCATCACTCACCAGCATGATGCGGCTTCATGCCTTGAAGACCATGAATGAACATGGCGCGGCCCTTGAGGTCGTAAGTTTGCTCCTTGGTGGTGATCGTTCCTTCAACACCACAACGGGGCCAGAATGCGTGGCTCATCGAGCCCCAGGGATTCTGGGCGTCTGTACCGAAGTAGGAAGTGCCATCTTTTCCAATGACGAAACCAGGGGAAGAACGATTGAAGGTGATGTTCACTAGACAGTCTTCGTTTACGGCAGATTTCAGTGTGTAGGAATCCCCCTCCTCATTGAGCGTTAGAGAGAGATTATCGGCTCCAAAGGAAAGCATGCTCTCATCGAACATAAAATTGTACAAGGGATCCGAGTACCACTTGTGGGGGGCATCTCCAGTAAGGTTGAAGATCTTCGCGTTGAACTGGGCGGTGGTGTGGATGCCACTATCACAAGCAAGAGAGGTTAGAGAAGACGGAGACAGCTTCGGTCAGGAGGAAGAGATCTAGGATACGGAGATATTGTCCGGTGCAGTGAGAAATAGCCTTACACAATGTTGCTGTAGATGATCTGCACAAAAACTAAGGTGCCATTGTCGGCCATGATATAAAAGGTCTTGGTCTCGACATTGGTATATTGGTAGGCGCGCCAACGCAGATCCTCCTTAGAGAGAACAGTGTACGGCACTTCTTGTGCTTGTTGGGCAACAGATCGAATCGCCTCAGGGCCATAGATCGGCTCCTGCGTACCCGCAACACTCGCGAGGCTAGCCGTAGTGTGAAAGATTAGCACGGTTGGATCTAAGGCCCACCAGGATGGAAAATATGAGAGGAAATGCGTACGTTGATTTGAGCCAGTTCATGATGGGCTTAAAGGGAGATGGAAGTGACGGGTGTAAGTAGAGTTAAAGTGGTGGAGGGAGAGGGAAGAGAGAGAGAGAGAGAGAGAGTAAAGGAAAGTGTAGGTGAAGGGAAAGGAAATCGATAGCGCGCGGGGAGAAAGAGGCAAAGGGGGGCAACTCAATAGCTTCTGACGATAGCAAAGAAATCAATATTGACAGGGGAAAAATGAGATAGCAACTCGAATCAAGTACAGTACGAAAGCTCTAAAAATTACAAATTATCCAAGGAAGCCAGATGGAATAACCAGATCGAGAATGGGACTCATTTAATCATACATGCATTCATATGTATTCGATTTCATAAATCAATACAATGTTTTAATGACGTCCAGCATTTCATTTCGTTTCGTTTCTTTCGCTTGCGGTTAATACGGTAAGTAATTCCGTCTCCGCGGCGCCATTCCGAATTTAGAACTCTCCAAAACTCTGGGACCGCAAAAAGACCTCTGCCTATACAATTCATTCTATTCAGTTCATAGATACCATTGACTTACCGCTACTCCTTTCCACATTTATTCTCCCACCGAGAACTACTCCTGATTCACCATGGCGAAAAAAGCATTGGCCAAAGATCAAATTGTGAAGCTCATTGTGGGTGCTGGACAGGCCAGTCCCAGTCCCCCAGTTGGTCCGGCACTCGGTAGTAAGGGTGTCAAGAGTATGGATTTTTGCAAGGTACGTCACGGGGAGGGAACAGGGATTGGAGCTCAAAGATACATCAAGGAGCTACAGCAGTCCAAGTTGATATTTACGGGGGATGATAATGATCCAGTTCTCTCACTAATAGTTTCCAATAGGAATTCAACGCCCGAACCGCACATATCAACACTGGAGTACCCGTTCCCGCGCGTGTCACTGTTCGTCCGGATCGCTCTTTCACATTTGATCTCCGAACCCCCACGACAACCTGGCTGTTGCTACAGGCTGCGAACGTGGAACCTCGTAAGAATCGCATACGTGGAGCCATGAACCCAGGCCACGAGATCGTCGGCAAGGTGTCCCTGAAACATGTGTACGAGATCGCGCAAATCAAGCATTCCGAGACGAGACTATCGGGACTGAGCCTGCAGGGGCTATGCAAGAGCGTCATTGCCCAGGCGAAGTCCATTGGCATTCAGGTTGTTCCCTAAATGGGAGGGGGACGAGTTCGACTGTATATTTATTTGACATCCCTGATGCTGTGCGAGTGCTGCGACTACTGCCGTGAATTATGATACTGGCGTTCTTGGGTATGGAGTCTGTTTTCAATTGTACTATAAGAATTGCATGTGATATAGAAAGCGTTGTCAGATACCTGAAGCATCTGCACATGGGTCAGGCCTTTCGAGGCGTGAGACAGATGAAGCTAGCCATCTATGTGCCGTCGTCGGCTTTCTGATCTGAGCAGCACAAAATCATGATTGGGCACCTTGATAGCCGAAGTTGATGTAAAATCATTCTGTGACGTCTATTCCAGACCGAGCAGGGATGGATATGCATATATCTCTTTACATCCCTTTCCCATGATGGCAGAAAAATAAGGAGTCAAACGATATACATTACACGATGAGTAAACCCAATAAAACGAAATAAGAGGAAAGTACTCCGTAACAGGGGAAAAATCAAATAAAATTAAAATTAAGAAACTAAAGTAAAAAAAGTCAGAAACCATTACGACAATGATGATAAAATTAATCAGGGGCAGAATGAAAGGGACCTCGAGAAAAGAGACGTAAGGGATCAAACCGAACAAGCGCCAAGAGCAGACATCAATTGCGGATCCTTTCTTGTCACCAAGGATACTAAGTACATACTGTGTACGGAGTACTAAGGACAACGAATTTTCTCCTGATAGACATTCAAGGTAATAAGAGGGTCAGAGGTTCTTGCTTGGCAGCTATTTGGCCTACGCAATCAGTTCAATTATTGCCTCCTAGACAGGGGAGTAACCTTCGATGATGATCACCTGGCAGGCAGAGAGTATTGCCCAAATGAGATAGGATAGACTGCGAAGCACTACATAGTAAAGTGCGAATCCCCACATTCCTCACCCTTTTCCTAGAGTCTATTCTTGACATGCTTTTGGTCGGAGGTTGGGGTCATAAACTCAAAAGAACGTTTGTCTACATTACAGTAGACTGCGTATGTATCTAGAAGAACCCGTACCAAGTGGATAATGATCAAAGAGGCTCATGGGGAGCCCGCAGCTGGTGGACGGAGTGGGTATCAATTAACATGTTAGGAGTCAGGACTCCGAACCTTTTGCTGATTACCTAATACATTCCACGCACGACCCTCAACAAGCGACCGTTATAGCGATAGTTGAGGAAGCAGACTCAAGAAATCTGGATGTTATTAGTAGTAAGATGACAGAAGGAAGATTCTGGATGACTCTTTCATTTGTGGTATTTAACTAATTGTTCACATTGATTGCTAAAAGGAAAAACAAACAGGGCAAATCTGCAGGGCTGCCAAGCTAACCGAGTCTGGAAACCTTCCAGATCAGGTCCATCCGTGACTAAACCCGGCAAGGAATGCGTCCCAAAGCGGTGACCCATGCCCCACTCCGTCGAACAGCTGGATGGGTTAGATGAGGTAATATGACCAGTATGAACCAAGAAACCGGTGGCGGGAAGCTTTCCTGTCAAAATTTACTCCGTACGAGATAAAGTAGAGAGTGGAATGTCTAGATACCAATCTACCTCCGTACAGTACAGTACTGTGAGTAGCCGACCGACTCTAGCGGTACGTCAAGTGGTGGCGGATCAGCCGAGTAGCCGTGAATTTAACTAACTCTGACTATGCAGCAGAATTCCGCGCCAGATGAGATCCAGAAACATATAGCGGGGTAGACGGTCAGCCACCATGGACGGAGTTGGAGGGCCGATCGGGAGGGGAGGGTCTGGAAGGGGTGTTGTTCTCCAATCCTGTTCGCGGACGCTTGCCGGTATTATTAGTCTGAGGTCAGTAGTACCGATATCGACCACATCTGGCTCATCCTTGAGGCCGAATGGCTTCCCAAGGCTGAGTATATTTGCTAAGTAGTACTAAGGTTGGTTGTAATTCTTATGACTATTATTTATTTACTGTTTCTATTTCTTTTCGTAATGCAACAGGAAGTTGGTGCATAATTGCGAGGACATGGAGGAATTGACAGCTGTAAATGGAAGACTTGGCTTCAAATCCACCAGGTCACATGGTAATTCATCTCAGTATTGCTCATACCAAGAGAAAAGTAATGAATTCCCAAGAGAATAATGATGACGACTCTGTATTTAACTGTCATATACCGTTGACCGTCTCCGCCAGATTCCGAAGCGATTGACAGTTTCAAATCCAATCTTCTCAGCACGGGCAAACGGTCAGTCGAATCTCAGCAATTGATTTATTACTGCCCTGCATAAACTTTTTTTTTTTTCCCTTTCCTTTTGCCTTTTTTCTTTTTTACTTTTTTTTCTTTTCTTTACTTTTCTTTTCTAATTTTTACTTTTTCTCTCCCGCTTTGTCCCCGACCACTTTTCTCTCCAGGACGAAAGCGACTGACCTTTTCCAGAAAAACCAAGGGGAATTATCTTTTCTCCTTCGACTGTTGGAGGTCAATCAATCAATCTACCTTGGACTGATCCGCTTGAATGGTCCAGGCGTTTTGCGAACCCACCACCCCAGCTACGAACTAATCTATTCTGCCACTAAACTAATCCTCCTCCGTCCGGCGCCGCTATTGCCGCCGGCGTCATTTTCTGGCTCCAAACCCCAAACCCGCTGCACCTGCTTTCTTTCTTTCCCTCTCTCTCTCTCTCTCTCTTTTCCTCGTCTGGTGGATCTTTCCCCTCGACTCCGGCCCCCTCCGTGCATCCCACTCCTCTTCTGCTAGTTCTTGTCAGTAACTTTGACGATAAGAGGCGTAAGGACTATCCCCGGTGTCTCTTTAACCATCCTCTCGGTTCTCTGCCGTTTTCGAATGGGTCCAGTTTTCCTTCCGCCTAATGTTTTGTGAGTAACAACGGCAACGGATCTTGCATACGAAATCCTCCGCGCATTTCCACCTCAGTCCCTCTCGCTCGTTGGTTGCCTCCGGGCTACAATATACAGCCACATCCACCTCCGGAGAATAAGTAAAAAGAAAAAGTTATCCTATCATAACTGTTGGATTTAGTTATCGCTATTATCATCGGCCAGCCTATCACTTAAAGCCGTGGAGGGGCATGTGTCCCGCAACATAATTTTGGGGAGTATGACGTCTGAAGCCACCGGTTTCACCCATGCGAACAACATGAATTCCGGTATGCAGCGCCCCTCACCACCGTCAGCCGAGAATAAGTATTGTATACTGATACCATTGATTTTGTCACTAGACACTTTGACCACTCAGCAACCTGTCGCAGCGCCAGCTGGGCAGGGGGCGAGTTCTGCTGATCAGGAGAACAAGTCTAAAACACAACCAAGCCAAGTCCGCTTCTCTTCGACAACGGAGGAAATTGAACCGTCGGCCGCCACTGGTAGCCCTGGATCAAGGCCTGTCGAGACCCCCAAGCAAGTGGATGACTTACAATCGTTAGCGGCTAGCCTACAAAGATCCCAATTACAAGAGTCTCGGCTGGGGAGTTTCTCATATGACCCCGTCTCTCTACCTTCTTCAAGGGTATGTATTCAGGGTATCTGCTGGCATGTGGGCTGCATATATTCTGCAAGGAACCATCCTCGCATCGGCCCGCCCGAATTGAGGGGAGCGAAAGAGGCTGATCGCTATATTGTCCCTTACAGGTTGCGTCCCGAGAATCAAGCGATCGCAGTACACGAGGAGCTAATGGATCCGGTTTGCCGTCTCCCCATGCCTCCCCACCGGTGTCCGTGATGCAATCGCCACCACTTACACCCGCGGCCACCCATTCGCGTGAATCCAAAACTAATGGCACTTCCTCGATGCTGAATGCTACAGATCGAGGAACCGGCACAAATTCAGCGGCAATGACCCCAGAGACGTCTCCACCCACAGGCGGGTCCACGAAGAGCCAAGCGCCCCAAAGCGCCCCAACTTCGCGGCCTGGTTCGACCGACCACCTGGCGAAGCAAGGCAATGTCTCGCAAACATCGTCTCACCCTCAGAATGGAGCAAAACATCGGGCGCAGTTCTTCATTGGACCGGATGTCAGCTCTCAAGAAGAAAGCCCGCCAACCACCCCTAGGGTCGACTACACTCCTCCTGGCGCCATCACACCGGTAGGAGAACCGGATGATCCATACGCTCGCAGCAAGCGTCCCCCTCAGCCTAAGAACCTTTCTCAGCTCGATCAGCGGTTTATTTTTGGCGGCCGTGACTTTAAACGGCGTGCACAGACGTCGTTCGGCCGTCCATCGACCCCCCGGTCTGCAAGCGCGAGTGATCTGAAGGCAAGCGAACGGCAACGTAGTGGGTTTTTCGGCAGCAAGAAGGACTCCAAGCAGCAGGAACCCGAGGGTAAGCATCATGGTCATATGGCGGAGCTCAAGCGATTCTTCAAGATGGGTCATCACAAACACAAGCGCGCCGAGTCGCCATCATCGGCAGTGAAACGGTCGAGCAGGTCCTCTGGGAAGAGCACGCCGTACCAAATGGCACCCGACAGCGTCCCGTTTGCCGATGATCATGGGCTCAATTCCAAGTATGGGAAGTTAGGGAAGGTTCTTGGATCCGGGGCCGGTGGCTCTGTTCGGTTGTTGAAACGTAACAGCGACGGTGTGACTTTTGCCGTGAAACAGTTTCGGGACCGTCACTCGTGGGAGACATTGAAGGAATACTCGAAGAAAGTCACAGCAGAGTTCTGCATTGGGTCAACTTTACACCATGGCAACATTATTGAAACCCTTGATATCATCCAAGAAGGAAACCATTGGTATGAGGTCATGGAATACGCTCCATTTGACCTTTTTGCGATTGTTATGACTGGCAAGATGCAGAAAGAAGAAGTTGCATGCTCCTTTAAGCAGATCCTCAGCGGAGTGGCATATCTACACGGGATGGGCTTGGCCCACCGGGATTTGAAATTGGATAACGTGGTTGTCAACGAGCATGGCATTATGAAGCTAATTGACTTCGGGAGTGCTGTTGTTTTCCGGTACCCTTTTGAGAATGATATTGTTCCTGCTTCAGGTGAGTTTGGCAGTTATGCTCGTAAAGGAACATTTTTTGAACTTACAAATCCATTCAGGAATCGTGGGTTCCGATCCGTATCTTGCCCCAGAAGTATATGATGAGAAGAAATATGACCCGCGCCCTACAGATATCTGGTCTTTGGCTATTATCTTCTGCTGCATGAGTTTGCGGCGATTCCCTTGGAAACAACCCCGAGTTAGCGATAACTCCTATAGACTCTTTGTGTCCTCCCCTACCCCAGGAACTCCGGTGCCAGATGCTGATCCGAAACGCCATCGACCCATCAAGTCTGCACCTGATCTCTCTTCATCTGCGCGGGAAAGCCAGTCCTCGGAATCGAAGAATGGAGGGCCACCACCAGAACACTCTAAAGGCCAGGATGCGCCAAAAGCCCAACCGAAACCGGAATCAACCACCCAAGACGAAAATCGACCCCCAGAGAGCCCTCAGGAGAAGACACCTAGCGACAATCAGAAAAATGGTAGTATTGACAACAAGCCTAAACGCACAACCAGCAAAGAGGCACCCCCACTTCCTCCCGGTGCGGCGCCGCCGTCAGGACAGCGTCAGGAAGTTATCAAGGGCCCATGGAGGCTTTTGCGGCTCCTGCCTCGTGAAAGCCGTTATATCATCGGCCGGATGCTCAAGGTGAGCGTGAAAGATCGAGCGATCCTCGATGATGTCTTGACCGATGAATGGATTCGAAACATCGATGCCTGTCGACAAGAGGTCTCTGGGGAGGTTTACAGGGCTCCGGGCCATACACACATTCTGGAGCCACCTTCTCCAAGCCCTGCAGTGGCCAGTAAGGCCAAATAGGCCTATTACTTTTAATACCAACTAATACTCTTCATGGTCCATTTTCCAATCCAAGACCTATGTTTCCATATTGCTTTATCGCTCCCGGTTGTTCTCGAGTCGTGATACACTTTTATGAACTCCTACAGTCAAGTTATTGCTCAGGGCATATTGCCCCATGGTGGTCTTCTGTCGCTCTTTATCCGTTTTGTACGGTTCGATATAGGTCATGAGGTCAATATTCTCTATGCTACCTCAGTTGTTTTGATTATCCCCTTTCACTCTCCCTAGGCTGGGAAGAGGGAGCAAATGCTTCCGCTCCATCTTTCCTCCCCCCCCCCCTTCCTCGGGCGTTGTTATACAGGCGTTTCTGGTCGGTCGTGTGAAACGGAGCTACTCGGGCGATTAACCTTCCCAGCAATCAATGGCTGGCTGTTAGATCTCTATTGCCCCTTTCGACTTGTTTTCATTTCTACTTTGGCTTCGATATTTCCTATGCAGTATTATATCGTGCATCTGGCTCGGTTCAAGAGTCGTCTCATCCTTCGGTCTGCTCATTCATTTCACATGCCCCTAATTGTATTCATCAAGCAAAAACTAGCCAGGTAGATACTATAAGTAAATGAACTAAAGAAGCATTAGCAAACAAAAAAAAAAAAAA